ACAAAAACTCTCCGATCACACTCTTAATCTCATGACTGTTAGACGGGAGATGAGTGCAATCGTCAACAGATTTGACAGCATACAGGCAACTGAACAGACAGATCTCCAAATGCATGCGGCGAGACTTACGCAACTTTAATACTGCTTGTTGAAGAAGCCATCGAGCGGAAACAGGGCTCCAAAGTCTTTGCTAGAGATCTGTCTGCCAATAAGAGCCAACTGTCAAAGCTGAAGACTGAGTGTGGCAGCGTCGTTTCCGGGACACCTGAGATTCTGAGTGAAATTGAGAGGTGCTATGGGTAGCTGTACACATCATCGTTGGAGCCACACGCAAGTGTGAGTAACAATCCAAGAGCAAGTCTTATCCGATACTATTCCGATAATATCCCGGACGTCAATCTGAGCGAGATTAGAATGGTTCTCCAGCACCTTAAAAACGACAAGTCCCCGGGCGAGAATGGAATTACAGCGGAGCTTCTGAAAGCGGGTGGAAAACCGGTACTTGAAGTCCTTCAGAGGCTCTTTAATTCCGTCCTCCATGGTGGCACTACTCTGGAGGCATGGAGCAGAAGTGCGGTGGTCTTGTTCTTCAAGAAAGGTGAGAACGCCCTCTTAAAGAACTACAGACCGATATTCCTTCTGAGCCGCGTCTACGTGCTGTTTTCGAGAGTCATTACGAATCGTCTCGCACGCAGACTCGACGACTTCCAGCCTCCCGTACAAGCCGGTTTCCGAAAAGGCTTTAGTACTGTGGCGGCGCTGTCGTCGCGCCACAAGCGAAACACACCGAAGTCTAAATCACGCTATCAAAATTCCGAATCATAAAACAGTATATATAGAACTTCTCCGAACTATCACACGGAGCGTTGGCCGCTCCCCGGACAGAACACCTCGCCCGGCGGGAGATCTCCCCCTTTCTTTCCACGGCCACCGTGGTGACCACCCACCGTGATCCGAACAACCGACGACCTTCGGAAGACCCCACCCATTCGCTCCCGAGAAGATATCGTCTGCAGTCTATATCCTGCAAGCCAGCTAGCTTCACAAGGTTCATCGCAGCACTGGAATAATAATGCTTCCTGTTCCTTCAAGCTGCTCTCTGCGCTACAGTGTTCGGCACGGTTCTGAGCCTTACTGCTCGCCTCTGCTTCACGGCACTCTCGCAGATTACTTGCCTTCTTCTCGACTCACCGCGGACTACAAGGCAATCTACTGGCACTTGCACATTCGTCGGCAACGAGGCTGCACTATCGACCTCCGGTCTGAGCTGGGGGGTGATGTGAAACACACCGAAGCCTAAATCACGCTATCAAAATTCCGAATCATTAAACAGTATATATAGAACTTCTCCGAACTATCACTCGGAGCGTTGGCCGCTCCCCGGGCAGAACACCTTGCCCGGCGGGAGATCTTCCCTTTTCCTTCCACGGCCACAGTATCATAGACCACATACATAGCCTTCGGCAAATTGTACAGAAGTCGGAAGAGTACAGTCTGCCACTTTGCCTGGCGTATGTGGACTATGAGAAAGCCTTTGATTCCGTCGAAATTTGGGCGGTGCTACAGTCTCTTCAGCTCTTGACTGTCGGTATATCGAAGTGCTGAAGTGTTTGTACAGTACGGGTTACGATGGCTATCCGAGTACAGAACTAGAGTACGAAACCTATCCAACTGTGGAGAGGTGTAAGGCAGGGTGACGTTATTTCCCCCGAAACTCTTCACCGCTGCATTGGAAGACGTGTTCAAGCTACTGGACTGGAAAGGATACGGTATTAACATCAATGGCGAGTACATCACTCACCTTCGATTTGCCGACGATATAGTCCTTATGGCAGAATCGCTGGAGGACTTAAGCACTGTGCTCAATGACCTCAATAGTGTCTCCCAACGGATAGGTCTTGAGATGAACATGGACAAAACAAAGAGCATGTTTAATGTCCGTGTCACACCTATGCCGGTAGTTGTTGGGGGCACGAAGCTTGAAGTTGTTAGTTTTTTTTTTTTTAGTTTTTTTTTAAACGTTACCCCTACACTAAGATTTTATCTTGTATCGTGGGGGCAGTTTACAAACATAAATTGCACAAGGACAAACATCCAGACCCGGAACAACTATATGTAGGCCATACACATACTTGTTCCGTGCGGGATTCGAACCCGCGACCCCCAGCGCAGCTACTCATTGCTAAGCCACTGCGCCACGGAGTCGTCAAAATTCCGAATCATAAAACGTATATATCATAAAACGTGTTGACGAGTACGTTTACCTGGGACAAATAGTCCGACTAGGTAAGTCCAACTTCGACCGAGATATCAATCGACGGATTCAACTCGGCTGGGCAGCGTTCGGGAAATTACTACGCATCTTCTCGTCAGGTATACCTCAAAACCTGAAAACTAAGTTGTACAACCAGTGCGTGTTGCCAGTGATGACTTACCGAACCGAGATGTAGTCCTTCACTGCTGGCCGTATGAGGACGCTCAAGGTCGCTCAGCGAGCTATGGAGAGGGCTTTGCTCGGAGTTTGTCTGCGTGATAGACTCAGAAATGAGGATATCCGCAGTAAAACCAGAGTGACCGACATCGCCCAACGGCTTAGTAAGCTGAAGTGGCAATGGGCCGGCCATATAGCTCGAAGAACCGACAACCGTTGGGGAAAAAAGGTTCTCGAGTGGCAGCCTCGTACCGGTGGGCGAAGTGTAGGGCGACCCCCCACTAGATGGAGTGACGACCTGGTAAGACATGCAGGAAGTCGATGGATGCAGGTGGCTCAGGACCGTGCTTTGTGGCATACCTTGGGGAGGCCTATGTTCAGCAGTGGACTTGTGAAGGGCTGTAATGATGATTATGATACGATGGACACTTTGAGTACCACTTTGACGAATGTTTGGTGATTTTGCAGAATACGGATATTCGGTAAAGCTGCCGAATATGCCGAATACGGAAAATGAAACGAATATTCGGCCCATCTCTACTATGAAGCATGAATGGGTCGACTCAAAGGACCAAGTTGGTAGAAAATACCAACGTGGAATAGCAACCAAATGCCTCTGTGTTTTGTATTGTAAGTATAGAGAACCGGAGACAGTCAAAAGTACTGGAAACTAACGAGGCAGTACATCATAATCCTCAGGAGTGGCAACTAATGACTCAACATCTACGGTTAAATTCTTAATCTAGGATAGATATGTGTTTATGGGCTAGTTAAAGTATCAGCTTAGCAACAAGTAAAATATATTCTGCAAAGCTAGAATCTAGCTGTGGTTTAATACGGATTTTTTCTTACAGTCTATTTACATCCCACAGCTGGGCACAGGCCTCTCTTTTCTGAGAGGGTTATGGAGCAAAATGTTACTTTTTTTTTAATGGAATAAGGGTGACAAAGGAGCACACAGTCCACCTGATAGTAAGTGGATGCTGTGGCCCATAGACATCTACATTTATCCCGGATTAAGAATCAAAACGCAGATGCGTTGTTACCCCTGAGGACCAAGACGGAATGTCTCGTTTCCAGTTAAAAAAGGGGTCTCCGGATCTCTACATTCACCATACGAAACACAGCAGGATTAAGCTGCTATTTTACGCTGGTATGCTGTGAGAGCGTGGTCCTTCCGCGGTCTAGCCGAGCCATTCGTGCTACAACCATAATTAGTGCAGCCATGAATATTTTATTCCTTAGACATGATGGTTTCCTTCGCCCTCAAGCATGTGGTTAATCAGTAAACTATTTATAATTCTTGCCATGAAGGCATCCATGAATCTGCCACCAGGGCGGTGTCACTTAATAATAAAGTGATTATTCGACACATATCATAGCGGGGAATGAGAATTTGTTAGATAGGTGTAGAGATTAGTGTTTCTTTTTGAAATATTAGTTATAAATTATATTAACTAGTAATCTAATTAATTATATTATATTACTTATTAATATTAAAAATGGATTGAGACATTTTTTTGTGTGTGCATACACTAGAAACCGAAAAACTTATTTAAAACGCAACTTTTTAATGAAGAGGACACTGCGGCTATCTGCGTACACAGGTTCACCTTAGTTTCTACTACGACATTGTGAGTGTAAGATTAACAATTTAATTAAAGCCGTGGAGAATCGAGATATAGGCTGATAGTGGAAAGGAAATGTACAATGTATTAGAATATTTAATGCAGTTGTAGTTTAGCTTTATTTTTATAATATTAATTCGTTCGTTTGTAACATAAAATAGTTACGAACTTGTTGCTACGAACACTTGCTTGCAGTGTACATGCAGTTGCCCTAAGGAATCTTCTGAAACTGCTGAAATGTCCGTAGTCGGGTAGACTCGGCGACTCTCTTTTTCGTATCTATTCTCTTTTATTCACGCTCTTTGGTGATATTTCTTCACCTGTTTCTCAATATTTTAACACTAGTGTGGGCCGAAAATCGTTAGTTTGAAGAAATCAGGTCCTTTAAACCAACCTTGATTCTCGTCGAAAGTCGACGGGGAACTCCTAGTAGTGTCATCTGCCACATTTTCTGACGTCGATACCCATCGCCATTAATATGGTCTGCTGTGATCTTCGATCTCAACCAGTCGATGAGCAACAAATAGTTTGAAAGTGCGTGGATCTGACCTGATCCATGGTTTCGACCATGGTTTTGGTTATTTTTATAATACCGCCATCTTTCTGAATACACAAGGTCTTTCTCATTCGTCGAAATTTACCACATCATGCTATACAAAAAATTTAACCGTTTTACAAAACTAATAAAAAAAATATATTTTAAAAATAAATATTACAGTTATTTTAAATTACATTCAGGAATAACATTTAATAATTTAATTAAAACCATAAAGTGAAGATATATCCCGGCTGTGGGATATAGGCAGTATTTTTTCTTTTAGTTTTGTAGTCTACAAAGATTTACTTAAATGTAACAATAGCACGCCTTACTTTTTGTGATAATTTATTTGCCTGCATTCTAAATGCAACCTTATTCCATTCGAAATACGTTTTTATTTAAGGTGGCAGCCCGTCGCTGTCTGCAGAGGCATCTTTACGCTCAGCTTCTGATGTATGCGTCTTCACCAGGTAAGCATTCTTATGCCATAGTCTTGAGAGTTGTTAACACCTTACTAAGTGATACAAATCTTTAATGTTGCTGCTTTACGCCGGTCTGGCGTAAACTGGATGGTTATAACGCCATCTATCCGGAGCCATGAGATATTTATTAGTTTTTTTATAGAATAAGAGTGACATGCACACAATCCACCTGATAGTAAGTGAATGCTGTGATCCATAGAAATCTACATCTATCCTCGATTAAGTATCAACATGCAGATGCATTGTCACCCCTGAGGACTAAAATGGTCTGCCACATAAACAGTATAAACGGTTCCCTACACTAACTATGTTAGAAACACATCAGCATTAAGCTGCTATTTTACGCTGGTATTCTGTGAGAGCGTGGTTCTTGTAGTGTGTGCTTATATATATGTAGGATAGACTAAGAGAGAGTTAGTATTAAACCTACAGTCTAGACTACTGGACGTTTTATTTATTCCCCGAACCACCCAACACTACCCTACAACACTACACTACCCTAGACGAGCTAACCTATTCGTGCTCAGTTATGTATGGCTAGCAGCAGTGTTCTACCACCTAGACGAATGAAAATTGGAATTAACGTTCAGAGAGTGAAGTTGACGGTTAACCAAATCATATTTTCCAGCTTCTGTACTAATATGTTAGGCAATACCCATTTTCAGATCCCCGGAAGCCGATACCGCACTCAGACCTGGAGCCATTGCCTGACGGCGGGTACCAGCTGAAACCTGACCGTCAGTTACATCTGTACGTCAGCACGGCGCCTTGTGGAGACGGACGGGTCTTCAGTCCACACGAGCATATCGAGTCAGAGCCGGATGAACACCCAAACAGGTAAGTTCTAGCATTCTCAACACTCCTCTCTTATTTAGAGGTGAGTTTTTTTATCGCTGCTGAGAAAGTTTTAGGGCGAGTTTTTCTTTCAAGAAATTCTCAATAGCTGCCCGGAGTCGGGAAGTTGGCGGTCTCTAACCCCGTGCCCGTAAAGCACGTAAAACCGTTGGTCCTGCGCCTGATCTCTCTTCGGTCGTGTCGATTTACCGTCCCATCGGATTATGAGAGTGAGGGAATAGAGAGTGCACCTGTGGTTGCGCATACACTTGGACACTATAATCCTGTCCTGCGCCGATGGCTGGTCTCCGTTGAGGCGGGCCGCCGTGACCGTAATGCGGTCTGCAGGACATTATTATTTGGTTTATACTGCGCTTGGTACTAGTAATTTTACTTTTAAACTTATTTTCTTAACCTTACATTTACCTACACATAATATGGACGTTCGAATATCCTAAAACTTTCATACTGAATGATATTTGACACCCGTATTTTTGAATTCAGTTATATTTTTATAAATGTAGACTATGCGGACGTCGGCTTATCGCTTTATTCAAGCTGCACTATATTTTAACATTTTACATTTGATACTAATCTGCCTAAAAGAACTCTTGTTAGGTATTTCGTAAGCAACCCATAACTCTGTTTGAGTATAAGTTACCTTCTGATTGAGTACAGGAAGATGGACTCAATTGTAGATATTGACAGGTTTCATAGAAGTTTGTTTTATTATATTGTGACTAATAATCTCTGACTAATAACCAAATATGTTCTGGCGAAGAAACTCATTTTAATATAAGGTTTTACTGCATTAACTGCCAATAGGTTGTTAATTTCTACAATAGACCGTTGCTGACATGAATAACTCCGAAAATATAATTTATTTACTTTATCGTATTGAGTTTTGGTGCTCTCACCGCGAGTTTACTTTTTTATGATCACTATCTTAAGGATGAGTGCGAACTATTTACCTAATCTGTGCAAAATTACTCTCTACTTAACTAGATTCATTTTTGTGAAAGGCTATTTTTGTTAAATTATGATATTATGTTAGGTTTTGCAGTTAGTTGAATTGCAATTTGTTTGTGTTTGTTGTTATAAATATTGGACGCTATATTACTAAAAACATGCATATCGTGCTCTAATTGGCGTCCGTATTGTACCAAACCAAACATATATATTTTGTCTCTATATAGTCTCTACAGTCTCTTTCCCTAGACATGCATATGCTGCTCGATCATAATTAAATTTTTTACTACTGCTTTCAGAAGTGGGAGGAGGCCTGTGCCCAGACTTGGGACTTACTTTACTTTTTTGTTTATTACTTCAATTCTTTAATCCTTTTCGATATATCCTATAATAATTGAACTCTTTTTATATGTGGTATTATACGTTAAAATTGCGCTCAAGACTACAACTGTTCAGGGCAAACGGAGCAACAAGACCAAAGCGACACCTGCCACGCTGTCCGTGAATTTCTGCAATATCAGGGGACTTCACTCTAACCTAAACGCCGTCCACTACCATCTCGAGACGGCGAGGCCGGCTCTGCTCTTTCTGACCGAGACACAGGTGTCCTCTCCGGCTGATGTCTCGTATCTCTCCTGCCCGGGGTACAAACTGGTACAATTGTTTGTGGCTCGAGCTGGAGTTTGCGTTTACGTCAGAGAGGGCATCTGTTTTCGACGCCTCGGCAGTCTTGAAGGTTAGGACCTGTCCATCCTTTGGCTACGGGTAGACAGCGACGACCATCCGCGCGTCTACGGGTGCCTCTTTAGGTCCCATAGCGGTAATGCCGAAACAGACCGACTCTTCAACCACGTCCAAATGGCTACAGATTCGTTGCTACAGCAGATCCCCCCCCCCGCAGAGATCGTGATCCTCGGCGACTTTAACGCCCATCATGCCGAATGGCTTGGTTCACGTTTAGCCGATCATGCGGGGAGATCTGTTCATAATTTTGCCTTGGCGTATGGTCTGACACAACTGGTTACTTCGCCTGCGCGGATTCCAGATCATGCACCGTCCTTGTTGGAACTTCTGCTGAACTCTCACCCGGACGGATATCAGATTTCCGTCGACACCCCTTTAGGCTCTTCGGATCATTGTCTTGTCCGGAGTTTGGTGCCACTCACGCTGAGTGTTACTGCCCCCAAGTTGCCCCGACAAAGGTCAATCGAGCTAGGGCCCACAGTAGCCCAATTCGACGGGTAACAAAGGGGAGGGTCCTACGACTTATGGATAATTAAACTATAACGGCTAACAAAGAAGCAAGCCACTTACCGATTGGCGGAGGTAGGGTTAACCACAAGGGGCGTCAAGGGCAAGTAAGGTGCATGTAAGTGGTGTACAGTAATGTGTAAAATGTGGAACCAGGCAGCCCCGCTGATCCTGGACAGCAGATCCCAAGGCGCTGCCTCTTTCCAATGGTAGGATCCATCCAAGGGAACGTTCAACAATGGAAAATTTCCACTTCTATTTTCACTATATTAGTTTATCAACTTTATTGTACATTTAATTAACTTCAAGCAACCAAATCAACGTTAATCGACATTAAAACAAGTGACGCTCTGCACAGCTCAAGGACGGTTGGTCAAAGTTCAAAGTCCCAGGTTCACGTAGCACCAAATTACTAACTCGTCGATGCAATTAACGCCATAAAAGTTCCTTTAATCACAACAAATTCCAGTAGGCCTCTTGTCACGTAACACGTTTAAAACAGAAACTAAATTCGAGGCGGTCTAGACTATACTCTAATATTCAATAGTAAATTCAAAATGGCGCCCACATTTAACACAAACCTTAGGCATTCGAGTCAACACCTGCCGCGCGCAACCGTATGACAGTCACAAAACAATACTTAAAACGGTTGCAACAAAAATTATATAATATGACCTCTTTATCACGGAAACTTACAAATATAAGATAACATAAGGAGGCTCTCAACGTATAATCGTCCCGGGCTTCGCGCAAATAAACTCAAGCAATAAGCCTCGTTATCACGGATACGCACAAATATAAGATAACACCTGGAGGCCGCCCTTTCGACGCAAAATTATATAAAACTCGCGACTCCTAAATCGACCCGGGCGATTATGTAACGTCCGACGTTCAACTGACGTGGTTTCACCGATCAAGGCTTTCGGCCGACTACCGTCCGGCCTCGCTGCCGACTGCCGAGGCGCGTCGCCGGCGCAAGCAGCTAACCCCTCGCCCCGCTCGAGGCCATCGGACGTAAACACCGAGTATTATATTTCTCGGGAAAACGGTACCGGGACAAACTTGTGTCTGAAGTCGAGTCTTTGCTAAACAAAGTCTTGGATTGGGGGCGACTAAATCTAGTCCAGTTTAACCCCCAGAAGACGCATGTTTGCGCGTTAACCGCTAAAAAGAACCCCTTCGTCGTATCTCCTCAGTTTCAAGGCACTCCCCCTTGTTGCCTCAGCCCGTATCGTCGACGACCGAGTGCTTTCCAATCGGCTCGATTCACTGGCGCTACGAAGAGATGTTGCATCTCTTTGCATTTTCTTTCGCATATACCACGGGGAGTGCTCTGAGGAATTGTTCGGATTAATCTCAGCCGCCAAATTTCGTGAACCCACTACGCGGCAAACGTCCCGATACCATCCACACCATCTGGATGCTTGGCGGTCCACCACTCTACGTTTCAAAAGGAGTTTTCTTTCGCGTACGACCTCTCTGTGGAATAGTTTACTACCGGCAATTTTTTTCCGGACCGATACGACCTGGGGGCCTTCAAGAAAAGAGCTTACTCCTTTCTAAAGGGCCGGCAACGCACCTGCAATTCCCCTGGTGTTGCAGTTGATCATGGGCGGCGGTAGTCACTTAACATTAGGTGAGCCGCATGCTCGTTTGCCCCTCTTCTATAAAAAACGTGGTAGAGCCACGCTGTACCTTATGTATGGTTGTAGCACAAATGAGTCGGCTCGACCGTGGAAGGACCACGCTCTCACAGAATAATAGCGTAAAATAGCAGCTTAATACTGATGTGTTTCGTATGGTGAGTGTAGAGATCCGGAGACCCATTTTACTGGAAACGAGGCATTCCATGTTAGTCCTCAGGGATGAAAACGCATCTGCGTTTTGATTCGTTTGTCACCCTTATTCTATAAATAAATAAAAAAAAAACTAAAAAATTCGCCGTTCAGTGGCGACAAGAGACAGAAGGAACAAACTAGAACATGGGCAGTAGCGTCTCAATAGTAACAATAAAAAAAACTGCGGTTGCTTGAATTTCACAGGACGCGAGCGACGCGGCTCCTATCTCACCAGCATTAATGACATTTTTTATTTTTGTTTTACTACATGCTCGTCGGTGAAGGAAAACATCATGAGAAAAGCTGCATTTATGAGAAACATAATAATGTTTTTTGTCAAATAAGATATACAAACGAGCACAAAGTCCACTTGATGATAAGTGGATGCTGTGGCCCATAAACATCAACATTTATCCTCGATTAAGAGGCCGTGCAGAAATTTATTCGATAGAGTTTAGGCAAATTCATTGCGGTGCTATCTTTGTGTGCATCGTTTACGCACACACGGCTAAAGACCGAGCGCAGTGCTCGCTTAAACAATTTTGATCCTTTAGTTGATAATTATTTTAGGATACATAGTAAGCACGGTTTAGAAATAAAAGTCTGGGATGTTTTTGTATACTAGTTTAGTATATTTATTACAATCAACATAAAATGAAAATAAAAAAGAAATGTGTTAGACAAATACACTATGTATATTTAAGTAATTCAATGTTTTCGTTCTGCGATGTCATTAATGTCTGCTAGAGAGTACAGACAAATTTAACATGTCTTATTGGTATTTGCCCGAAAATCAAACATCGTGATTTCATTAAAACAAAGTTTTTGTAAACGCAAAACATTTAAATTTAAATATTAGGCTGTATATGAGAAACGGAATGTTAAAGGGATAAATAAAATACAGAGCACGGGTGACGTACACGTCAAGTAAATACTTTGATTTTA